CTTTCTTGACTACAAACTTAGAGGGTCTACAGTGCTCCTGCGGAGAGCTGCAGCGGCGGCATGACCCGTGGGCGCTACCCATGGTCCCTTACCCCCGACACACCACTCACTGTGATAAGTATCATGCTATTAGAGTCTTCAAACAACCCACACAGAGCCTACGGCGAAGGGGCACATGTAGGCTTGATTGGTGTAAACCCTTCCCAGATATCTCTGGTACTACCCGGGACTACTCTGGGGACCCTTCCGGATAGCTCACGCTAACTCTATCAGTTTTGGTCTGTTTTACTCTGTTTTTTTTGGAGAAGGTACCTGACCTTCTCACCTTTACCCCCTTATATACCCTGCGAACATCTTCCGATCGGACGGAGGGCAGCGACATATACAGTGTTATCGACATGTCTTCATGAACTCCATTTAACTAGTAAGATGGCAACTCCACCCATTTTGGCCCATGACGCCCGGGGCAAGCCCTGGGGCCGCAGGTACCTGTTAGGAATTATTCTACCAAGTTACAGCTTGTTCGGAGCACTATAGCTCCTCCCGTAGTCTTCCGATCAAAGTGCAACCAAGTGCCTGTCGATCATCATTGCGTAACAAACAATCGTAACGTTTCCTGAAATTCCTCCGAGAACATTTCTGATGGAAGGTAGGGTAATAGTGTCCCAAAGGTAGGGTAAGTATGTCCATAGTGACACAAAACTGGTCTCTATGGTGGGGTAACGTGACTCTTCTAGACAGCGTAGACTTACGCGGCCTTCCATCTTAACCTTAGGCCGGAGCGGACATAGTCACTTTACTTCCACTACTTAGGTACACCTATTCCTTAAGTACCTTCTGTCCTTTAGCATATCTAGACCATCAGATATCCCTTGGACATGCGCCTGCATGCCCGCCTAGTCTACCGTGTTACCTCTTGGTATTACGTATGGGTGTAGACTTAGGTTGCCATAGTTCTTTAACGTAGGGTCGTTACACTCCCATCCTTACTCAAGCTCAAATTGAAGAGTTCATCAAGTATGTTTACATACCTTCTTAGAATCATTGTCTGTCCTTTCCTTAACTTCCTACTGAGCTGGAATTTGGTATAAGTAAGAAGGCTATCAGAGCAGTACTGATTAAGAAAGAATTCCATCGACTAGTGATAAGAAAGCCTCCCATTACAGAACTAAATTATGAGATAAGGTTACAGTAAGCTTTGGACCATGTAACCTGGATGATAGAGCAGCAGTATGCGATTTTATGGATGGATAAAACCTAGATAACAGGTAAGAGACATACACTGGCAGGAACTTGGGTGACAAGATACATTGGAGAAGAATGAAACCCAATATAATATATCGTAGAAAAGCATCTCAGAAAGAAGAGGTGGATGTTTTGGGAGTACTTTCATAGGAATACGTAAGGTCCAGGAATCTTTTGGAAGAAATACTATGAGACAATAAATTCTGAAAGCTATCATGCACTGTACTGGGGGCTCCCTCAAGTAGATGGTTCCTAAGGATGCGACCACACCAAACTTCGAATCTCTCAAACACCACGTTTGCAAAAGTGTAAAGAATAAAAGTAAATGGTAAAACTTAATATCGTTAAGCTCAGGCTTATCTCAATTTAAGTCTCTCGAAAGGATGTTGATTTTGTGTTGGGGTAGGAGAGTTCTCGTATAATCCTTAAGTAGTCAGACTTATATCAAAAACTCCCCCATCAGGTTACCCCGACCAACATGAGTATGCCCTTCTCCGTAAGGGTTGCTCCGGCACCATTACCGTGTCCCCGAAGGGGCTAAGGTGTCAGTGCACTCCAGCAGAATTCTCCTATATGCACATCAGTTCCTGCAAGGTGTTTACCAATACACCTGCTGGAGTGAAAACCTCTGCGCATCGGTGTCTCGTCAGTGGCTAACTGTCGAGACGCCTAGGAAAGCTAACTAAATGACTCTCTTCCCATGTGCTATAACCTATGCAAGCTCCCATAGACATCAGCTGTCTCCCAGCTAAGTTCTATCTTTCTTGAGTGTGAACTTAGAGGGTCTACGGCGCTCCCACGTCGAGCTGTGTCAGTGGTAGAACCTGTGGGCGCTACCCATGGTCCCTTACCCCTGGCACACCACTCAGCGGGATAAGTATTATGCTATTAGAGTCTTCTCACAACCCAGAAAGAACCTACAGCAAAGGGGCACGTGTAGGCTTGATTAGCGTAAAACCTTCCCAAAGGTCACTGGCACTACCCCGGACTACTCTGGGGACCCTTCCGGATAGCTCATGCTAACTCTGTCAGTTTTGGTCTGTTTTACTCTGTTCCTTTTGGAGAAGGTACCTGACCTTCTCACCCTCACCCCCTTATATATCCTGCAAACTGCCTCTGGTCAGACGGACGGCAGCAATGTATACAGTGTTATGAACATGTCTTCATAGATTCGATTTAACTAGTAAGACAGCAACTCCACCCATTTTGGCCCATGAGGCCCGGGGCGAACCCTGGGGCCGCAGGTACCTGTTAGGAATAATTCTACCAAGTTACAGCTTGTTCAGAGCACTATAGCTCCTCCTGTACCCTTCCAATCAAAGTGCAAACAAGTGCCCATAGATCATCATTGCGTAACAAACAATCCTAACATTTCCCAGACTTCCTCCAAGAACATTTCTGATGGAAGGTAGGGTAATAGTGTCCTAAAGGTAGGGTAAGTATGTCCATGGTGACACGAAACCGGTCTCCATGGTAGGGTAACGTGACTTCCTTAGACAAGGTAAACTCACCCGGCCTTCTGACCTATCCTTAGGCCAGAGTGGACATTGTCACGTTACTACTACTACTTAGGTACACCAATTCCTTAAGTACCTTGTGTTCTTAGGGATATCCGGACCATCAGATATCCCTCGGATATGCATCAGCATACCCGCCTAGTCTACCATCGGACCTCTTGGTCTTATGTATGGACATAGACTTAGGTTACCATAGCTCTATTACATAGCATCGTTACATGCACATACTGTTCCTGTAATTCATAGGTACATGAAATTATGTCATTGCAATGAGATTCAGTTAAAGATCATGCAAGATAGAGTACCTGGTTATTCAGCAGCAGGTACAGCAACAGACCTATGAGAACAGGAAATTGAGATTATTCACTCGCCTCTATTTTCTCCAGATTTGAACCCAATTGAAAGGATATGGCATGTCATGAAAAATTATCTTCAAGATAATTTCCCTGAGATCATGACCTACAACAGGCTGCGAGTGGCAGTAAAGTGAGCTTGGGACAAAGTCGGGTATCATGAATTTAGAGAACTGATAGGAAGTATGCCTGCAAGACGCCAGGCAGTTATCAATACAAATGCGCTTTTTACACAATATTAAATATGTATTATGCTGAGTTTTGAAAGATAAAATCATTCACAGGCTCAGGAACAGGTATCTTCAAGTCCTCATTGTACTACTCCAAGACCAATTTCCATCTACTATACCCCATTTGTCAACCCTACCCCCTGCTTGCTCAACACCCCCTGCTAGCCGAATATACAAAACTTAGGGGATGTTTGGCCCGCCGAATCTGATTTGAAATCGTGATTTGAGATCAGATCTTGGCAAATTTAACTCAGATTATTTACACTATTCATCTAGGAACTGTATGTAATTAGAAGTAATAATCCAAGTTAAAG